TATACATAGATTAAATAAAATTATAATATTGTTTAAGTATTTTTTTCTTAATTTAAAAGAAGACCAACTTAATTGAGAAATCCCACGGGGAGAGCGGAATGGTGTTGGGAATGGGATAAAATAAATTGTAGAGTTTGAAATTGTATATTCTTGTATATTTTTTCATAACTCTTGCCAATAAGATATTATGATGGAAAGAAAAGGAATTTATAAATACATGATAAAATAATATTTTTTGGGCATTTTAATAATAATTACTTTATAATAAGATGTTCATTTTTCAATTTATTAAAAATGAATACGCTTATGGTTGATACTTTAAAAAGTAAAAGTTGAAAAGTTATACAAAGAAAGAAAGATATAAATTAAAGAAATGAAAAATAAAAAACTTAAAAATAGTTTTATATATATATATATATATATATATATATATATATATATATTGGTAAAATGATTTTATACATATTAAACTCCCTTGAGGTGAATAAATTAATAATAATGGGCTGGGCCGACCTACAGAGACCTATGGCCTAGCCTATATTAGGTCAAATTTAATATATTATAATAGTAAAATAAATCAGGCTTAGACTTTAAATAATTCTATTTAGGAAATAGTCTATAGACTTTTTTTGTACATATCAGGCCTATAAGTCTACAGACCGGCCTATATCATATTATTTACTTTAAATAAAATAAATAAATTTATTATCTTAATAATTTTGAATAATAAAGTAATATTATGTTAGTTATTCTTTTAATTGTTGAATGTTTAATAAGCTTAAATAGGTTTCGGTTAAATCTTTTTATTTTTCAAATATATGTCACACTAAATTTGTAATTTGGGACCTATACTCAATACATTTTACATAAATCTGACCTATTTAAGTCAAAATCGAGTCTAAATTAATCTATTTACACGGTTGTGTGCAACCATTAAATTAAAAGTAGATACATTGGTATTATTTAATTTAGAAACAAATCATATATATACCTTTCATGATCTGTGGGCCTCGGATGCAAATCTCAACAGGCTGATTATAGGAAAGAGAAGAACCAGTTTCAGGGTCAACGACCTTTATCTCTGTATTTCTGACTACAGTGCCACATGACCCTGACTTCGATGGGAATGGCTGTTTTGCAAACCCCAAACACATCGACAACACAGGCCCAGCCTCTGTCATCCCGTAGCCCTATACATTACATGCATTAATTTTGTCACATGTCACATCTAAAGCTTCATATTTAATTTTGAAATTACACGATAACAGAAGAGAGAAAAAAAAAAAACACATATTTAATTTTTATATATTATAAATTTGTTCCCGTAAACATAAACAATGGGGATTGATATTTACAGATGACTTTTTAATATGAGTGTTCGCGGTCCGGATTAGATTAATTTTGAAATAAAAATTATCTGATGAAAAATTCTTTGTATTTGATCATTTAATGATTTATTTAGTATTGAATTTTTTTCAAATCAAATCAAATCCAATCTAATTTTATTTGGTTTGAATTGAATCAGTTTTTGGTTTATTTAAAAAATCTAAAATTTCAGACATACAAAATACTAGTATTGTTGATTGTATATTTTGTTTGAATAAATTTTTGTTGTCTTATTTTTTTTAACAGGCTAAATCAGATTTTTATATTTTGTAAATAAGTCAGGCCACAGACCTGATAATTATATTTATAACAGGTAATAGACTTAGTCAGACTGACACATTTAAACACAGACTTAGGTTTTTAAGACCAAAACTCAGCTCGGCTCGCTCCGTTAACACCCCTATCTATATCAAAATGAAACTAATCGAAAAATTTAAGTTTTCGAACTAAAACAAATTATAAAACTCATGACGAATTTAAAATAGAGTAGACAATAAAAAACTAAAACTTACAATATTAAAAAAGTAACTAAGGGTTATTGAATTACGGAAAAACGCCTTAGCGAAATTTCAAAAATAATACACATATATATATATACATTGGAAAATTGTGGATGGCTATTGTGAGACAGCACAACATGCAAAAAATTGTAGGGTTCATGCAGAAAATGTGGCTGACTATTGAATGATGCAACAATGTTATTACCTGTCCAAGAACTGCATGAGGCAATCTGCTCCGAAGAGCCTCCTCAAGCTCCTTCCCAAGCGGCGCTGCCCCTGACATCACCAACCGTATGGAGCTCAGGTCATACTCCTCCACCCTCGGATTCTTTATCATCGCCACCACCAGCGGCGGCACCACCATCGCCACCTACACCCTGTGCCGCTCTATCATCTCCATCAATTCCCTTATCTCAAACTTCTCCATCAGCAAAATCCCACTCCCCGCTCTCAACGCACACATCATCACACTGTGCATCGAGAATATGTGAAACAAAGGAAGCACGCAAACCACAACGTCCTCTGGTTTCATGTACAGGTTCGGGTTCTCTCCGTCAACTTGTTGAGCCACGCTCGTTATAAGACTCTTGTGTGTCAGAACCACGCCCTTTGGTAACCCCGTTGTCCCGGAGGAGAAGGGCAGCGCCACCGCGTCGTCCTCCGGGTTGATCTCCACCTCCGGTAGCTCCCTCTCGTCTGCTTCGGAAACCGCCGAGAAATGCAACCAGTTCTCCGGCGGGTTGTCGATGGTGATCACCTTCAAATCCTGTATGAGGAGCTTGTGGACGTACGTGGAACGAGAGTGACGATGAGTTAGGCTTTGGAAGCGGTGAGTTGCTTCGAGATTTCGGCGGCGGTGTAGAATGGGTTGGCGGTGGTGGCGACGGCGCCGATCATGGATGCCGCCATGAATGAGAAGACGAACTCCAGGGAGTTTGGAAGGAGAATCATGATGACATCACCTTTGTTGATGCCGAGATTGGACAGACCAGCGGCGAACTTTCGAGATGCGAGGTGGGTTTCAGCGTAGGTGTAGGTTTTGTCGCCGACAATGAGACATGGACGGTCGGAAAGTTCGGGGAGTTTATGGAAGCAGTAGGTGTGAAGGGGAAGGTTGTTGGAGATGGGTATGTCTGGTAATTTTGATCTAAAGAGATGGGTAGTTTGGGGAGTTGAAAGAATTTTATTATGTCCTGAGAATTCTGTGCTCTGTTGATAGGTTTCAACACAAGTAGCTTCTGATATCATGGTTTCAATATCTGTATTTTAAAGTATATATAAATGTTGTGTTTGGGTACCAATTATGGTTCAAAGAGCAACCAAAGAAATTAAAGTTGACAAAAGCAGCTAATTAGAAAGAGGGAATAAAAGGGAGGGAGTGTGATATAAAGATTGAATAATGAAAGAGAGAAATTAGGTAATATATATACATAAGCTAAAGTGGTAGATATGTAATGTAGATGTAAGAGGCACACACATAGTCTCATTGAAAACCAAGCTTTGTTATTCCTCTAATGAAGGAGCCTCTACTGACCTACCTACCTTGTTTTTCTGTACCTGTGTGTGTCATTCTCATCAGAGAGAGATTTGTGTGTGAACCTTGAAGTATGCTGGTGTTGAGGATTTATCATTAAATTACAACAAGTAATACCTCTTTCTAATATATATATTTTTACCTTGAGCACCTAACGGATGAAAGGAGTAGAATCTACATCTATGCGGCTTTTAAATATTAGAAATGGAATCCGAATATTAGTACAAATTCTAACAGCACACCGAAATTATATTCTTAAGAACATTACAGGTTTAACAAACTAACAATTGTCCAAATAAAATAGTAATAATAATACGACCAGTACTTGATATATGTATTAATGTATTATCCATCATCCGGGTCCAAAAACTGGGGAAGTGAACTACCGGAGTAGCGGTTAAGTACAACGCACCTTTTATTTGATTTGTGTAATGGACCATGGTGTTGACAGGTCAACGGTCTCCCAACACTCAACCATCAAGTATTCATATTTTACACCTGGTTTTACCAAATACCATGTACTTGTGTAAACTTGGCACGACCCCAGACTTTTTGCTGAACCAGGATTGAAAAGTGGATAATATGTTAAATTTAAGAAAGTAATAAAGATTGAATTTTAGAATAAATAATTATAAAATTTTATATTGTTGTAAAAAACCAATTCAACCCAAAAGTTTAAGCTGTTGGTCACACAAGAGCCCACTGGGCTAGAAGGGTGGACAATGCACAGACCCACTTACCTGTGCGAACAAAGAAATTCCACTTGAAAAAAAGTAGGGGCGGCGAGGATCGAACCCGGGACACGAGACTCTGATACCATGTAAAGAACCAATTCAACCCAAAAGCTTGGGTGAAACTACATTAATGGTTTTATATATCTCAACAATTGTCAACTGAATAAAAACATGTAGAAATTTTATATCTAACATCTATACTATTCGGATCGAAAGAGTTTTATTTTCCTGTCTCTGGGAATAGTTCACCAAAAAATTGCTGGAATTAACTTTTAAACAAAATTCATAAACACAATAAACAACATATAGTTTAAATCCATTCACAAGTATCATTCAGTTGTTGACTTAAGAGGGAAAAATAATTTAAATAAAAAAAAAAAATTTGTCATCTGACAAAAAGAATGAGCAATCATGGGAACTGGAATGAACCACCAATTTGGTTGGTGTCAGCAGGGGGATTGATTGCCACCCAAAAGAGTGACATTGTGATTGCTATGAGGACTGACCACACAAAAACAATGGTAGGTGTCTTCTCTCTTCTTCCCATTAAACCTTTTGCAAAAGGATAGAGATGTGTCAAGACCCAAAAACTGAAGAAAACACCACCTAGTAGACGGCTCCACTGTGGTATTACACTGTATATGGTCCTGCTAACTCCAACTGTTATTGCTATCAAATGGACGTCCACCTGGTGCTCTCACCAAACCAAGAGAGCTTCTTCATGCATCAACTGTGGCTGAGGCCATCAGTGTGATCTCATGTTGGTATGAGGATAAGACTGAGTGGGGAGGACGTGTTGGATGGATCTATGGTTCAGTTACTGAGGATGTGGTCACTGGTTATAGGATGCACAATAGGGGATGGAGATCAGTGTACTGTGTGACCAAGCGTGATGCATTCCGTGGAACTGCACCAATCAATCTCACTGATAGGCTTCATCAGGTGCTTAGATGGGCTACTGGCTCAGTTGAAATATTCTTCTCAAGAAACAATGCAATTCTAGCTAGCACAAGGATGAAATTTCTTCAAAGAGTGGCATACCTTAATGTTGGAATATATCCATTCACTTCAATATTCCTTGTTGTGTACTGTTTCATTCCTGCACTTTCACTCTTCTCTGGCCAGTTCATTGTTCAAACTCTCAATGTCACATTCCTTGCTTATCTCTTGACCATCACTGTGACATTGTACATGCTTGCTGTTCTTGAAATTGAGTGGTCTGGTATTGAGCTTGAAGTGATAGCAGGGATTGAAATATCATTCACCTTGACTTCAAAATCTGGTGGTGATGATGTTGATGATGAGTTTGCTGATCTCTATATAGTGAAATGGACATCACTTATGATACCACCAATCACAATTATGATGGTTAACTTGATAGCAATAACAGTTGGAGTTAGCAGGACCATATACAGTGTAATACCACAGTGGAGCCGTTTACTAGGTGGTGTTTTCTTCAGTTTTTGGGTCTTGACACATCTCTATCCTTTTGCAAAAGGTTTGATGGGAAGAAGAGGGACTACCATTGTTTTTATATGGTCAGGCCTCATAGCAATCACAATGTCACTCTTTTGGGTGGCAATCAATCCCCCTGCTGATACCAACCAAATTGGTGGTTCATTCCAGTTCCCATGATTGCTCATTCTTTTTGTCACATGACAATATTTTTTTTTTATTTAAATTCTTTTTCCCCCTTAAGTCAACAACTCAATGATACTTGTGAATGGATTTAAACTATATGCTGTTTATTGTGCTTACGAATTTTGTTTATAAGTTAATTCCAGCAATGAATTATTTGATGAATTATTCCCAGAGACAGGAAAATAAAACTCTTTCGATCCCGAATAGTATAGATGTTAGATACGAAATTTCTTAATGTTTTTATTCAATAGACAATATAAAATTTTGTATTAATGTAGCCTAAAATTCGGAACAGTGATCAAAATATCACGTTTTGTCAAATTTTTACTCAAATGCTACGCGAATAGTATTTTTTACCAGACCGCCACATATCATAATTTGCTACCACTGGTAGCGAATTTTGTGGCCAATAATTTCGTGACACGTGGTCATATTGCAAACCAAATTCGCTACCAGTGGTAGCGAATTATGACACGTCAGCTTTTTCCTGCGAAAGTGTGCCACGTGTTAAAAAATCATTCGCGAACATAATTTGCTACACAGTGTAGCGAATTACTCCCTGCTTGACACGTGTCATTCTTGCTGACTGTGTATTCTGACGTAGCATAATTCGCTACACTGTATAACGAATTATTTGCAAGCATATTTCGCTACACAGTGTAGCGAATTATCTCACGTGGCATTCTGGAAAAATTTACTATTGACGTGACAGTCTAGTAATTTTTTTGGCCAGGGCAAAATGGTCTTGTTCCCTAAAATTCAATCTTTATGACTTTTTTAGATAATTAAATTTTAAAATATTATCCACTTTTCAATCCTGGTTCAGCAAAAAGTCTGGGGCCGTGCCAAGCTTACACAAGTACATGGTATTTGATAAAACCAGTTGTAAAATATGAATACTTGATGGTTCAGTGTTGGGAGACCGTTGACCAGTCAACACCATGGTCCATTACACAAATCAAATAAAAGGTGCGTTGTACTTAACCGCTAGTTCACTTCCCCAGTTTTTGGACCCGGATGATGGATAATACATATATCAAGTACTGGTCGTATTATTCGTACTATTTTATTTGGACAATTGTTAGTTTGTTAAACCTGTAATGTTCTTAAGAATATAATTTCGGTGTGCTGTTAGAATTTGTACTAATATCCGATTATATGTTGTGATGTTATTAGAAAAATTAAATTTTTTTTTATAGCCGAAAAATTAAATTATTTACTTAGATATGAAAGTTGATTTCTTTAATAAATTAATCAACACATCATACTATATTAATAAGGAGTAATAATTTGGGCTCATCTATTATGGCTGAGTCAAATGTGAATTATTCTATGGCGGATCCAGTATAATTTTTATATATCGGTAAATTATTAGTTTAATTTGGCTTTATGCAGCTGTGGATTATTCAGGAAATCCATTAGCTCCTATTTTATTTATTCATTTAAATAATTAGAGTATTATAAATATTTATTTCAACTTATTTTTTAAATTAATATATATGGGCAAACGAACGTAAAGTACCCATCAACCCCATTACAGGTTTCACATCTTCCTGTTCATCACACTCTAGAACAATATTTATATTTAAACCTATTTTTTACATTTGTCTAAATTATCAATCTTATGCAAATAACTCAGTACAACAGTCTATTGTCATAGAACTTTCTTCCACCCGAAATGTAAAATTTTCAATATGGATACATAACTTGTGAAAAGTTATATAACTGATTAAAAATGAGTTTAGAGTTTCTTATATTGTAGGAGATAAATTTATCTCCTAAACACATAAAAATATATAAGATTCATATTTTTTTCTTTTTTTCTCTTCTCTTCACTTGGACCCCACATATTTTTATATGTGTGTAGAAAATAAATTTATCTCTTGACTAAACTCAATTAAAAAAGTGATAATATTTTAAATTCAGTGACCAGTTTTCATTCTAATTCTATAGGCAAACCTTCAATCCATTAGCGATTTGTATTAGATCGCAGGATTCCATTTCTAATATTTAAAAGCCGCATAGATGGAGATTCTACTCCTTACATCTCCGTCAGGTGCTCAAGGTGAAAATATATATATATATATATATATGAGGTAGGATCCTTTGACACTGATGTCAAAAAAAAAGTTTGACACCTCATCTGAGAACCGTTAGATTAAAAAAAATCAACGATTCTGATTTGTAAACATGTGACACCATTGATTTTTTTTAATCTAACGGTTCTCAGATGAGGTGTCAAACTTTTTTTTTTTGACACCGGTGTCAAAGGATCCTGTCTATATATATATATATATATATATATTAAAAAGAGGTATTACTTGTTGTAATTTAATGATAAATCCTCAACACCAGCATACTTCAAGGTTCAACTGATGAGAGTGACACACACAGGTACAGAAAACAGGGTAGGTAGGTCAGTAGAGGCTCCTTCATTAGAGGAATAACAAAGCTTGGTTTTCAATGAGACTATGTGTGTGCCTCTTACATCTACATTGCATATCTACCACTTTGGCTTATGTTATGTATATATATTACCTAATTTCTCTCTTTCATTCTTCAATCTTCATATCAAACTCCCTCCCTTTAATTCCCTTTTGCTAATTAGCTGCTTTTGTCAACTTTCTTTCGTTGCTTTTCGAACGATTTTGGTACACAAACACAACATTTATATACTTTAAAATTCAGATATTGAAACCATGATATCAGAATCTACTTGTGTTGAAACCTATCAACAGAGCACAGAATTCTCTGGACATAATAAAATTCTTTCAACTCCCCAAACTACCCATCTCTTTAGATCAAAATTACCAGACATACCCATCTCCAACAACCTTCCCCTTCACACCTACTGCTTCCATAAACTCCCCGAACTTTCCGACCGTCCATGTCTCATTGTCGGCGACAAAACCTACACCTACGCCGAAACTCACCTCGCATCTCGAAAGTTCGCCGCCGGTCTGTCCAATCTCGGCATCAACAAAGGTGATGTCATCATGATTCTCCTCCCAAACTCCCCGGAGTTCGTCTTCTCATTCATGGCGGCATCCATGATCGGCGCCGTCGCCACCACCGCCAACCCATTCTACACCGCCGCCGAAATCTCGAAGCAACTCACCGCTTCCAAAGCCAAACTCATCGTCACTCGTTCCACGTACGTCCACAAGCTCAACGTAGAGGATTTCAAGGTGATCACCGTCGACAACCCGCCGGAGAACTGCTTGCATTTCTCGGCTGTTTCCGAAGCCGACGAGAGCGAACTACCGGAGGTGGAGATCAACCCGGAGGACGACACGGTGGCGCTGCCGTTCTCCTCCGGGACAACGGGGTTACCGAAGGGCGTGGTTCTGACACACAAGAGTCTTATAACGAGCGTGGCTCAACAAGTTGACGGAGAGAACCCGAACCTGTACATGAAACCAGAGGACGTTGTGCTTTGCGTGCTTCCTTTGTTTCACATATTCTCGATGCACAGTGTGATGATGTGTGCGTTGAGAGCGGGGAGTGGGATTTTGCTGATGGAGAAGTTTGAGATAAGGGAATTGATGGAGATGATAGAGCGGCACAGGGTGTCGGTGGCGATGGTGGTGCCGCCGCTGGTGGTGGCAATGATAAAGAACCCGAGGGTGGAGGAGTATGACCTGAGCTCCGTACGGTTGGTGATGTCAGGGGCAGCGCCGCTTGGGAAGGAGCTTGAGGAGGCTCTTCGGAGCAGATTGCCTCATGCAGTTCTTGGGCAGGTAAGTAATAACACTGATTCATCATTCAATAGTCATCCACATTTTCTACATGAACCCTACTTTTTTTTTGCATGTTGTGCTGTCTCACAATAGCCATACACAATTATCATGGATCTATTATTTTTGAAATTTCGCTAACGTGCTTTTGCCTAATTCAATAACCCTTACTTAGTTACTTTTTTAATAATGTAAGTTTTAGTTTTTCATTGTCTATTGTTTTTATTTTAAATTTTTCATGAGTTTTAAAACTTGTTTTAGATCAAAGATTTAATTTTTTTGATTTGTTTCATTTTGACATAGATAGGGGTGTTAATGGGCCGAGCCGAGCTGAGTTTTGGTCTTAAAAGGCTAAGTCTCTGTTTAAATGTGTCAGTCTGACCAAGCTTATTACCTGTTATAAATATAATTATCAGCTGTGGCCTGGCTTATTTACAAAAAATAAAAATCTGATTTTGCCTGTTAAAAAAAATAAGACAACAAAAATTTATCCAAACAGAATATACAATCAACAATACTAATAATTTCATAAATATTCATAAATTCAATATATATCCAAAAAGCATAATATAAAAAAAATCATTCAAAAGCCCTGTTTAACCAATAAAATAGGGTGAATGGATTGAGGAGAAAAAGAGGGTTATTACAAGTAGTATAAAAACTATAAAATAAAATATAAAATAATATACCAGGCTAGCCTGATAGGCTCTAAGGCCGAGTTTTTGAATTTGAGCCTGAGGGCTTCTTATTAAATGAGCTTTTATACAAGTTCAAGTCTGGTGCCAACAACCAATTTTAGACATATAAGCTCAGGCTTTTACGAGCTGAGCCAAAGATCCCTGATTTGTTTAGCACCCCTAGATAGATTTGTTTAGCACCCCTAGATATAACTAGTATTTTCTATGTCTGAAATTTTAGATTTTTCAAAAAAATCAAAAACTGATTCAATTCAAACAAAATAAAATTAGATTGGATTTGAAAAAAATTCAAAACTAAATAGATGATTAAATGATCAAATACAAAGAATTTTTATCAGATAATTTTTATTTCAAAATTAATCTAATCCAGACCGCGAACACTCGTAATAAAAAGTCATCTGTAAATATCAATCCCCATTGTTTATGTTTATGGGAACAAATTTATAATATATAAAAATTAAATATGTGTTTTTTTTCTCTCTTTCTTGTGTTATCGTGTAATTTCAAGATTAAATATGAAGCTTTAGATGTGACAAAATTAATGCATGTAATGGATAGGGCTACGGGATGACAGAGGCTGGGCCTGTGTTGTCGATGTGTTTGGGGTTTGCAAAACAGCCATTCCCATCGAAGTCAGGGTCATGTGGCACTGTAGTCAGAAATGCAGAGATAAAGGTCGTTGACCCTGAAACTGGTTCTTCTCTTTCCTATAATCAGCCTGGTGAGATTTGCATCCGAGGCCCACAGATCATGAAAGGTATATACGTACTATATACAAGTAGCATATGATTTGTTTCTAAATCAAATAATAATACCAATGTATCTACTTTTAATTTAATGGTTGCATCATTATTAATTTATTCACTTGAAGGGAGTTTAATATATATAAAATCAGCTTTTAGACTATTGAACCGGCTCTAAATTATCCAAACAAATAGTCAAACTGATCAAGATTCACTCAATGAGTGATTCAATTTAATTCTCTCAAAAATTACATATCGACTTATTGTAGATTGAAACATGGCTCTAGCCTCTAGTGCATCATGTAACATATATGGTATAAAAGTTCTTTCACTATATAATTATCACATGATAATTTTTTTCAATTTTAAATGTAAATTTATTTTCGTAATATATATATAACTATTTTTAAGTTTTTTATTTTTCATTTCTTTAATTTATATCTTTCTTTCTTTTTATAACTTTTCAATTTTTTATTTTTTAAAGTATCAACCATAAGCGTATTCATTTTTAATAAATTGAAAAATGAACATATTATTATAAAGTAATTATTATTAAAAAGCCCAAAAAATATTATTTTATCATATATTTATAGATTCCTTTTCTTTCCATCTAAATATCTTATTGGCAAGAGTTATGAAAAAATATAACGAGAATATACAATTTCAAACCCTACAATTTATTTTATCCCATTCCCAACATGCCATTCCGCTTCTTCCTGGGCTTTCTCAATTAAGTTGGTCTTCTTTTAAATTAAAAAAAATACTTAACTAATATTATAATTCTATTTAATCTATGTATGTTTTAATGATGATATATTTTTATTTTGTTTATGCTAGTAATTTTAGTATAAAAATTGTCAACTTTTTACAAATATAAAATTCTATAATAAATAAAAATTATAGTTAGTATAAATATCTTTAATAAAACAATTATCAAAATATAATTAAAATAGAGTTAGAAGATTATTTCAGTAATATAAAAAAGATAAAATAGTAACTAATGTAAATATTTACATGTCCTATAAGATTTTACTCAACATGTCAAAAATGAATTTAATGACCTTTTTCATTTAAACTAGGTATATATAGTTATCAAGTGCATGCAAATTTCGTTACAAGCAAATAAAAACAAATAAAATTAAATCTGAAAATGAGTCTTTCTATTAATACTTTATAATTAAATATAATCTATTAATACTTTATAATGAGAAATATATTTAATACTTTTAATCAAACATTATCTTTGATATATTTTGATTATAATGTTTTCTTAAAAAAAAATTTAAGCATGCACTAATTATTTATCTATTAAATATAAAAAAAAAATCATAATTATAAATATTTAATTTAAATAATTAACTTCGTAATCCATGAGTAAAATAACTAATTCTTATTAAACCTTGTCTTAATTACTAGTTTGGTTTTAAAAACATTGGTTTTGATAGAACTAAGTTTCATATAGGATACCTGAATGACGAGAAGGCCACTGCAGCAACTATTGATGTAGAGGGTTGGCTACACACGGGAGATATTGGTTACGTAGATGATGATGATGAGATTTTCATTGTTGACAGGCTCAAGGAACTCATCAAATTTAAAGGCTTCCAGGTATATATGAATTCTTAAGCAATGTTTTTTTCATGTTACATGAGATAACATTGTTTTATGTAGAGATATAATTAGATGGGTTCACAATTAAAAAAAAAAAAAAGAATTTACAAAAAAAAAAAAGAAAATAAGAAAAAGAAAAAGAAATGCTGATTTGGATTTCAATGGATGTGTAACCTAAGATAAATTTTATCACGTGACATGAGAAAAACATTTTCCAATAATAACATACCATTGTTTTATATTATTCTATCATCAGGTGCCGCCGGCAGAACTTGAAGGCCTTCTTGTGAGCCACCCTTCTATTGTGGATGCAGCTGTTATCCCGTAAGTATCATGGAAAAAACTATATAGATAGCACCATATATATGTTTTAATTTTATCATATACTTATAATTATTGACTAATAAATAGTGTTATCAAATATGGAACCAAATGTTAACAGGCAAATGGATGATGCTGCTGGTGAAGTTCCAGTTGCTTTCGTGGTTAGCTTTGATCTTACTGAAGAAGCTATAAAGGAGTTTATAGCTAAACAGGTATATATATACATGCACTACCATCATATTTAATTTCGCTAAAGGTATTCATTTTTGAGTTTCCATATAATTTTGTTAAATTAAAATATTAAAAGATTTAACTCCACTCTTATTGAGAACAAATACATGCAAATATGGATTGACTTCTATTGAGGAATTAAGCCATATATAAATAAATGAGAAAATATTTGTCCTTTTAAATATTATAAATTTGTGTCATTTTAGATGAAATGACGTTGTTTTGGTGCATAATTAGTAATTTTTAACATTCTCTCTCCTCCATGAAGGATATAACTTTGTGTTGTTTTAGATAAAACGACGTTATTTTGGTGCATAATTGATAGTTTTTGATATTCTCTCTCCTCCATGAAAATGTCAAAATTAATAATAATGCACCAAAATGGCTTCGTTTCATCCAAAATGATATTCTTTAAAAAACAAATATTTTTCCTTAAATACATTTGAAATACATTAATTTCAGAGTAGTGAAATTAAGCACGATTACTTTTATTTTATTTATTTATTTTTACAAGTACTGTAAGTATATATCTGATTTTAAATTGATTCACTATCAAAGTTTTTTTGTATTATCATTATCATTAAAAAAATTGTTCTGGAAATAATTACTTAAAAAGTTGAAAAAAAAATTAATAATATAGTAAAATATGATTAAATAATAATCAATTTTTTTACAATGACAATCATATATATTAGAAAACAGAAAAAAAAGCCACATACAATCAATGCGATTTACAATTTCAAGTTTTATGATATATTCGTTTTGCATTTTCAGACTGCTCAACTGCATGTCAGATATCAAGCTATAATAAAAAATTATAATATGATGCTGCATATTAAAAAAAAATAGAAAAAGAGAGAGGAAATTCCCATGTTAATATGGCACACGTTAAGTACACCATATCTAAGCCTATAAATTTCATGGAAATAAGTTCAAGTAATTGAGAGAATTAATGGCTTGTGGTATATTTGTTGTGAACAGGTAGTGTATTACAAAAGACTACGCAGAGTGTACTTTGTTCATGCCATTCCCAAGTCTCCATCCGGAAAAATATTAAGAAAAGACCTCAAAGCAAAGCTGGCAAGCATCACCCAGATGGCCTAGTGTGTTCCTCAAAAAAAATTGTTCGTTATATGATGGATCGGTTTTATTTATTGAAAAACAAAGAATAATATAGTATAACAAAATTATACTTCATTTAACCGGTTAGTCCCTGTTAAACATGATGATATGAATGGAATATGTTCTTTGGATTATTATATCTCTTATGTCATTACTATTTTTCATTGTTGTGATTGCTGTGAAATGAATGGAAGATTATGTCAGTTTGGTTACTATCTGTCTTTACTGTCATGACTGTATTCATTACAAAATGTTCCTACATAATGCTTGTTTGTTTCTGTCAATCTCTTCTTACAATTTTTGTTTCTGTCAATCTCTTCTTACAATTTTTGTTTCTGTCAATACTGTGAAACAATACTATTTTTTGTTTTTGTCATTGCAATCTCTTTGGCAGATTGATTGTCCTGCTTATATCTTGTATGCTGTGTCATTTTGGGGTCATGTGTAAACATACCTGGACTTAGCACATTGGTCCCTGTTATATACCTTATAAGTCCTCAACAATATTTAGCAAGGACCTTTTTAGTCCCTATTATTTTCCACACTTGGCCACATTGGTCCCTAACAAATTCATCTGGGTCCTTTTTAGTCCCCGTTAAACATGACAGTGAGACCAATGCCACAGAAAGCTGTTACCAAACCCACTGCTCATTCCCCCCATCCTTGTTGTTAGTGTTCATGTTAAGAGTGTTAGTGTTAATAGTGTAGAAGTCCCACATTGAGTGTGTCTCTTTGTATTCTTCAATTGGTTTGCTATATAATAGCACCAATGTTGTGTAGTTTAATACAACAAGGATTACTATCATTTTCTCTTGTATCTATGATATTCAACATGGTATCTAGAGCCTAACAAGAGGAATCTTAATCTGTTTAACTTAGTTCTATTTTCCATAATTTCAATATGGTTATAGAGAGATATCACCCTCCTTGAGGGATTCCCATTGCTATTTCTTTTTCGGGTTTTTCTTAGTATGCTCTGTGACTGCAGCTTAGACTGATCTGTCACATCAGAAAAGAATGATCCTTGGGAAGTTGTTGGGTTGACCACCGTTGTCGTTGACCGACCACCGTTGACAGCCATCTCCAGCGACTTTTCCGATGACTTTCCGACGACTTTTTCGGCGATCCACCACCGTCTCCGGCGACTTTTCCGACGACCCACCGCCGTCTCCGGTGACTTTTCCGATTCCGCGAAGCTTTGTTTTTCTTTAATCTTCTTTCTTCCCAAGATGGAGTATTTATACTATTCATCATCCATCTTGAGGGGGAGCACTGTCCAAGTTGCTGATGTTGTCTTCGCTGATGTTAATTCCGACACCGAAGTTCCTCTTGAAGGGGAGCACTGTCCATGTTGCTGATGGTCATTCCAGCACAATTGTCTTTGCCGATGATAATTTCGGCACTGTTTAGAAGTTCCTCTTGAGGGGGAGCACTGTCCATGTTGCTGATGGTCATTCCAGCACAATTGTCTTTGCCGATGATAATTTTGGCACTTTTTAGAAGTTCCTCTTGAGGGGGAGCACTGTCCATGTTGCTGATGGTCATTCCAGCACAATTGTCTTTGCCGATGATAATTCCGGCACTGTTTAGAAGTTCCTCTTGAGGGGGAGCACCGTCCATGTTGCTGATGGTCATTCCAGCACAATTGTCTTTGCCGATGATAATTCCGGCACTGCTTAGAAGTTCCTCTTGCATGTTGCTGATGGTCATTCCAGCACAATTGTCTTTGCCGATGATCATTCTGGCATCTTCCATGTTGATGTTCATTTCGACGCCATTTTTAGCACATTGTTGATTTTTGGTTTCTCATTTAGGAGATTTATTTTGATGTTATGTTACTTGGTCTTTCTTGTAATAAGCTTGTAGCATAGTCAAGGGGAAACCACAGCTGCTCACCAACTGTTAAATGAAATGTCTGAGAGGGATCTTGATGCTGATGTCCTGGTCAGCTCAGTTGTCTTTGCCGATGATAATTCCGACACCATCCATGCTCTGATGTCCATTCTAGCACTGTCTATTTATCAGCTCTTCAGACTGATGGTCATTCCAGTTGATTTGTTGTACTTAGTCATTTCATTTCGTTGATATAGCATTGTTGTTTTTGGTTCCTAATGTGAGTATTATTTATGTATCAAGCTTGTAGCATATGATCTATATGCTACAGCTTGAGGGGGAGTGTTAAGAGTGTTAGTGTTAATAGTGTAGAAGTCCCACATTGAGTGTGTCTCTTTGTATTCTTCAATTGGTTTGCTATATAATAGCACCAATGTTGTGTAGTTTAATACAACAAGGATTATTATCATTTTCTCTTGTATCTATGATATTCAACAGTTCATACAGTCTTTTGAATTTTTAATTGGCATTTCCAGATAACTTAATACTACATTTTGTGCTTTCAGAACAATCAAGTTCAAGGACATTAACCAAATTATATACATTGCATGAACAACATCTCATTACATCCCAACACTGGTCTTTTCATTACAGAGAAGCATACATATTACAGATTAAAAATGAACATTTCACTCCACCCTACTACAAAGATATAGACATATTACAAAGACAATGATAATGGATCCAGCAAACACCCATGCACACCTACACACATGCATCATTTCCTTCTCAACCCTTTCAAAGTCTGCCTGCATCTTCATTGATATGTCTTCAATATTTATACAGTGCTCATTAATCTTCTTTTTGTGGTCATTCACCTCCAGCTGCAGTTCATCATTGAGCTTCATGTCCAAAAAGTTCAACTTGAACTCCATTTCAGCTACATTCAACTCTAGCTTGTTAATTGTCCAATCTTCCAGCTCCATGGTATCAGATGTAGCATCATCCGCCCATGTAAAAAAGTTACAGTGTGGCTTCTTTTCCTAAACCAAATTCAACTATACAGTTAATAAGATTGACATACCAAAAATAACGCATGAAAAAATCAACCTCACCTTGAAGTTGGGGCACCCAAAAAATGATCTATTAGGGTTTCTAAGTGTCTTGGAGGTGTAAACAACACTGTGCCTCCCACATTTAACAATGGAGCATCTCTCCTTCTTCCACTTCTGGACCCAAATGAACTACTTGAGCTCCCCCTTCCAGAAGACATATTCATGGCATAAAAACTAAGAACAACCCTAAATCGTACAGTAAACACCCATCTTCACTAAACCGTCAATCAATTTTCCCCAAATTCATGCGTTCAATCTTCGATTCAATGCCATGCTTTCTGGTTTAGGATTGAACCCTAACAAACAAACGACGACGTTCCTTGGATGAAAGAGAACTGGTCTGTCCAACGTGGATGGGTATATCAAAACGACGTCGTTCCTCAACCCACGTGGCTTTCAGCATGTCACTTAACGTGACACATCATCACTGTCATTCACACCGTGAGTTTTGGATTGACAGAAGGACTAACGTGGATCCTGTTTCACATTGTTGGGGACTATCTAACGAGTTTATTTTTGTGAGGGACTAATTTGGCCACCGCATTTTTTGTCAGGGACCAACTTGGGTCTTTACTCTTAATTTGATTATAAAAATGTGTTTGTGGATCGGCCCTCCGGGCCGAGTCCAGTTTGCCACCTCTAACTATCAGCATGTAAAAGGTTTTTATATTTATCCACAAATTTTTTTTTTATAATTGCGTCTAGGTTTTTATATTTTATCTCAGAGATGAAGTTTCATTTACTACAATCAGATTTATAAAATAATAAATAATTATTTTTTTTGCAAGGATTTGTGTCGTTAGTCTTTGGAATTTCACAAATTTATATTTACAAAATTTGAAATCAGATATAGTAATTTAATTATAAAAGAAGAAGGATAAAATTTCAGTTGAATTATAAAAATATATTAGCGGGCCGGCCCTCTTGGCCGAGCCCAGTTTTCCATCTCTAATTGTCAGCATTTTATATAAATAAATTTTTTTGCAAGGATTAGTGTCGTTAGTCTTTGGAATTTCACAAATTTGTATTTACAAAAATTGAAATCAGATTAAATTATTTAATTATAAAAGAAGAAAGATAAAATTTCAATTGAATTATAAAAATATAATGGCGCACCAGCCCTCCGGGCCGAGCCCAGTTTTCCACCTCTAACTGTCAGTATTTTATATAAATAATTATTTTTGCAAGTATTTGTATTAATTACACTCTTGCAATAAAAAGATGAAAGTTTAATTTCTTTCTTATGTACTAAATTAAAATTTTCATTCTATAGTTCTTAAATTTTAATAATTTTTTTTTACGGAATGACAGACGTCATTTTTTATTTAAACTTAAAATTTAAAAAAATTTATATTAATTATACATATTTTTTATATAATTTTTTATTTTAATTATGATTTATATATTTTTTTTTAATTGGTTATACATGTATATTTAAAAATTTTATGTTAAATATTTTTTTAAAAAAGACATGTATATTATTTTAATTGGTTATACTTATACATGTATATTTAAAATTTTATGTTAAAATTTTAATTTATTTTTTGTAAAGTATAAATTATACCATTTCTTATTTTTTTCTTTTAAATTTGAAATTTTAAATAATTTTTATCGACTAAAAATGTATTTTTATAATTTTAAATGTTTTATTGTTTAATATATAATTTTATATTAAATTCAAATTTATTATTGTGCACACACTCTCTAAACCCTCTCTCTTAGCTTGTCACTGTGCACACACCACACGTCTTGACTATGTCGATTATTATTGTGCACAGTGATCGGCCTACCCTCAAGGGTATCTCATTTATAGATACTTGTGAGAGAGCACCTAGATCCTACATAAAATATACCAGCCACCGGTTGGGCACCTCTGTCTTTCAGACAAAACAAAACCGAAAATCAAAAAACTGAAAACCAAAAAAACCCGCAAATTTAATTGGATTGAATCAGTTCTCTGATTGGTTGATGAAAACCGATCCAATCCAAACCAATTCAATATATTAATTTCTCTCTACTTACTTGGGTTTTTTCTCAATAATATCCCAAAAATTTCTAAACCCAAGATGCATTAACCCATCAACTAAACCCAAGAAAAAATCTAGTCACAACTCATTAACAAAATTTCATCTATGTAGAGCTTCGTATCTCATTGCAAAAAAAAAACTACATTATCATTTATTAATGCTTTTTTATTTCAAAAAAAAAAAACTTTACAAAGTCAATATATATAAAAGATATTATTTGCACAATAATCATGAAACAAATTTTAAGATTTTCAAAAAGTCGAAAACCGATCAAATTCAAACCCAAAAAAATTGGATTGGATTAGATCGGATTTGAAAAATAAATTCAAACCGAAAATCAAACGAAAGGTATTGGATCAGATATTTTTGCTTCCAAAACCGATTCAATCCAGACCGCGAATACTCCTAATTAATATTATTCTTTTTGTTGGTGAGAATGAACAAATTAATACTTGCCAAGCAACTTGCAAATTTTACCTTCATTGCTTGAGTAACATCTTTTCTTACGCTAAATGCTTAAAAGAAAGAAATTAACGTCTGAGATCATGCGTGTCCCAACTGGCTTAAAGCGATGGACGTGCAGACTACTCACCCATTAAGCTATTGGTAATTATTATAACGTTATAGAGTCTCATGTCAATGTTTTGATGGTGTCTTTCTCATTATTTCTCGTGCCCCTGTGAAACGAGTGGCAGATTTATCCCTAAAAATATAAATAAAAAGAATGCATTTTCGTAAATCTAATTAACTTGAATTACTGATCAACGATTTAACAACCGTGATAAAAAGAATAAGTGAGAAAAATTTTAAATGTGTGGATCCCACTTCTTCATGAAAGTAAAAAAATATAAAATGTGTGACCTCTATTCTCTTAAAAAGAATGTAGAAACTTTTTTGGAAGCAACACTAATTGGAGAGAAGTCAAACATAGCACCTGCCTATAAAATTCCAGAAAGGACAAAAAGCAACTTGCATCTTTGGCCAACAAACTTGGGATTGGGGATCTGTGAAGATCAATGAAGTGAATGAACAGTGTGGTCCATATTTACCCATGTGAAGTTACTTTCAACTTTTTTATTTTGCTGTGCTCGAATTCTGAAATATGTTTATTCTGTCACGATCAACTCCGCCGTTCAAATTGCAGATTACAAAAAAGCTCCCCATCACGGTGATCGGCACCAAACCACCACCAAAGTTAGTTTCCAATTACATGGTAATATGGTATGGCAACTTTCAACCATATTTTGGGCCTCATTACATATGGCTGAGCATCTAGTTGGAGTTTGGGGTAAATTTGCAGCAGGAAGACTTTTGATGTAGGATACAGCTAGATAGTCAGGTAGATAGATATCTATGCTCGGAAAAAATCTAATATAGTACGAAAGTAGGTACATCTGACAAATAGGAACGCGTCATGTCAGCTGCAATTGTCATGGAGAGAAAAAGAGAGAGTAAATTTTATACTTTACACTATGTACTATCGGTAGTACATAGTGTAAATTATACATTTTCGTGCTACAGTTATATTGAAGATGCACTCCTATGCTTGATTGGGACAAATGTGACAGGTGGGCACTTCAACATTCAAATGGGTTATGCTGAGGGAGCCCGTTTAACGCGCTCCGAGAGCTCATGCTCCCATTCTAAAAGTAAGAAAAAAAATGGATTGAGATAAAATTTAGAAAAAAGAATAGGGCATAAATGGAAAAAAAAAAACCTTCTTTTTTTAGTAAAGGACGATGAAATAGTGTTGTGGTCCCGGATCACATTAGAAAAATCCGTGCTGAGGGGCTTATGTCGAATGGCTTGATGGCATATTCTGGTTATGCCAAGTGGCTTCTATAGCCTATATCATTTGGAGGATGCCTGTTCGTGGCCTATACTTTTTAGGTCTAGCTAAGGAGGCTTAGAGAGTTTGTATGCCTGTGGGATAAGTTTCCTTGCTCTTTAAATCTTTTTTATTAGTCCTCCTTGATCGGTTTAATATAGATCCAGATCACAAATCAACTTTTATGAAAATCTAACCATTTGTTGATTGAGTTTATTAATTTTTCTCGAAAGCAAATAAGTAACATCTAAAATACAATTTGTCTGTGGAACTATGCTTATGTAAGTCTTGAAGAATCTAGTTTCTATGTATGATTGTGTTTCAAGCCCAATAAGTGATGGGCTTCGTTCGTTCTACTTCTTGAGCTGAAATAAGAAAGAGCTGAAAAAGCAAAGATACATTGGATTCTTTAGTCACATAAAATACTGGTTAAGCCTTATCCTTTTAATGATGTAATAATATATTATTAAATAACAGTGTAAAATTTAACAAAGAGTGCGTTAAGTATAAACTATTATATATAACTGTTTAGCTTGAATATTATATTCCTTAGCTTTTTTGGTTATTTGAAAATTTAAGAACTGGTATTAACCATAATATATATAAATTAAAAAATAAAAAACAGCTTAATACCTATGAATAAAAACGCTTGATCTGTTTAGCAAAAAAAAAAACCGCTTGATCTGTTCGTCCAACAATAGAAGGCACAGTAACCTTTAGGCAGCGTTTCGTAGAAGAAGAAAAAAATTTAGCAGGTAAATAGAATTAACGAGGAAATTGTGGAAAAGTAAGTTTGTGGAAAAGTAAGTTTGTGGTAAAATTAAAAAAAAGTTATTTGGTTAGACGAAATATTACCGGATAAATTGATTAAAATTTTGTAAGTCTATGTTTTCTTTTATCTATTTTCCCAGTCATCTAACAATACCACATTAAAAGTGGCATTTCTAGGCTGTTTTTGCTCACAATTGATAAAGGATGGGCATTCAAGTTTGCTTACTAAATTTTTAATTAACTTGACCAAACATGGATCCAAAAAAAAATGCCTTTTACAATTGCCTGGGTATCTCATAAGAATACCCAAACAAAACGACCAGGGAATTACTTGGGAAACTACAAAATAAGTCAGTGTAAACTAAGTCAGTGTTCAGAGTTTACATCATGACAAGGTCAACACTCCTTAGAAACACCATGATTAAATATACCCGAAATATTTTATATGGTTCAGGACAATTGAATCTTTTGATGCTCCTTCTCATAACATTAATTTTTTCTTTCCTTTTTTATCCCTGTTATTTTCTCTCTTTTCCAATTTTACCCTCCTATTTACACAAAGGAACCACTTAAAAAATGGTGTTCCCGGATCACATTAAATAATCTCCACCTCTAGCGTCTCTCTTTCTAACAGCAACAAAACTCACCAGCAAAACTTCTTCTTCTGATTAACAAGCAGCAAAATGAAAGAAAGAGAAATATCAGAAACCTGAAAAATGTCCCTCTAAGGTTGTGTTCAAAAGATACATGTGATAACTTACCCGTAACTTAGCTTCTTCTTGTCTATCAATGTAAGCAAGCAACTCTTCTTGCCTCATCAAAGCTTCATAGAGAGCCTATTGCACAATCCAGAAAGTGCAAATGTAAGGATTACTCAGGTGAGGAAAAAATGAAAAACTATGCATTCATCAGATCTCCACAGCCATAATATGACATTTAGAAAATACACCCAAAAATAAACATGGGGAAAAAGATATGCATGCATAAAGAGAACAAAAGCACAAAAGCACAACTGCAATGCGCAATTTGGATAATTCACCATGAAGTGAAAACTGTAAAGAAATGATAATCTAAAACAATTAAAACTTCTGTAACATAATTAGCATTAGTAGAAAAACATTTAACAATTATCGTGCCTCAGTTCCATGCAGATTGAAAGATTTTTTTAACACTAAATGTAAGATAATCAGACATGAAGAAAAACATCGCATGTGTGTGTCTGTCCATTCACATAGCCGCCAGCTAATGGAAACAAGGCATATTTTTAGTTTTAAATAAAGATGATAAACAAATAAGAAAAAGAAGAAATAAATATACCTCAGTGTAATAGATATGCACATATAAAGTGCATCATCACGACTGCAGTTTCTTAAAAAGTAAAGGAAAACAAAATTATAGCATCCTACCTTTTTAGTTGCAATTAACTCTGCTTCCAAAGCATCCACCCGGCAGACAGCAGCGTTTAGCAATTCCGCTTTCTCATAAGGCATCTCAGATGGCTTAGATTGGAGCGTGTCAACCTTCTCTTCAAGCTCACCTAACCTTTTCGTCATGGAGGAAAGGAGAATTGCCTCTGTATTAGCTTGAGTCATTGAAGGTGGAAGATCATCTTCCTTGTCTGTTGCATTAACAGTAGGCTCTAAAGTACTCTGATAATCATCAGATGATACTGCAGGAAGTTTCTTGGTCACACGGCATGTGACTGATCGGAAGAGAGTAAACAGGGTCAAACAGAAGACAGTAAGGAATACCCAAATCCGAGCTCGAATCCCTTCAGGAGTTTTTGGAGGGTCAGGAAGGGGTGTTCCTGTAATGGAAAATTAAATTTAATATTTCCATAGCAAATTACATCACATAATTCAAATTAAGAAACCCAGCAAACCACCAGCTCTCCCAAATGCTTAAGCTTTTAGGTGCAAGCTCGGGACTTCTGGATTTACTTACATCCCAAACAAACCCCTCAAACAAAAGCCTTTTGCTCATAAAGCACTGACAAAGAACAAATACCATGTCAAGTTCCCAAGGATCAACTCTTCCAAGAGCTTAGTGCCTGATTGGAAACTCTTATTTTTAGCTTCTCTTATCCGGATAAACAAAAGTTTAGCCAAACATAATATTACAAAAGCTCTTTTCATAAAAAAATCTCTTTTTTATAATGAAGAAAAAAATAAAAAGCTAAAAGCTGAGGAGCTTTTTTTAAGATGTATGTCAGCATTTTGGAATTCTCATATTTATTTTTCAATTTTACCCTTATTCTAAACCTGTATTTATAAATTTTATCATTTATCCTAATAACAAATTATTTCATCTCCCTCTATTCAAAACCTTAAAAATAACTTTATACAATTATCAAACAGCTTTCAGCTTTATTTTTTAAGCTTTTTTTAATTTTAGCACAAAAGTAGCTTTTACCTTAAAAATAGTTGTGCCAAAAAGACTCTAAAATTCTTAATTGCAGGACCTGAAATTCTGTGTCTCGAAACAAGAAATTATTCAGTGCAACTGAAGTAATTACACCATTTTCACATGTTGAAATACTCTAACTTGTTTTTAAAATTGAAGAAAATTTTCAAATTTAAAAACTGAAAATATTAGGTTTTAAAAGCAAAGGAGTGGATTGTGCAATTTAAGGCAATAGGTGAATGGTGCACAACATACTGACAACAAGAGGATGAGCATTAAAAGAAAACAAGTTCATCTCTTCAATAAAGCCTACCAAAATATCAGTTCACTTCAATCCAACATTGATTAGTTCATAATTCATGATTTAATTGAACATTATCTTTTATTTATGACACATTATAGACTGAAGCTCGTGACATCAATACATTCCCAGCCATCAATTTCTTACAAAGGTTAGGGGACAATTAGTGTCACTATGCTGAAAATGAAATGGGTTTCTATGGAGATTTAGAACACAAAGCACTCACAATTCTGACATTTAGGATTACTTTTTGAAGCAAAATTTATATCGACTATAAATGTTATGCTACAGTTGTTAACCTTTTGAAGAATGAGACCTCTGGAGTGATGCTTGATTCTTCCAGGTAGCATCAACAGCTTTGTCCACCATTGGAACATATTCGTCATAACCAGGTAAGTTACCACTACCAGCATAGCTTGACTTTCCAACTACCTTAGACTGACAAAGAACACAATGAGAATAACTTGTGTTAGCGACAGGCTCCTTGACAAGCATTATATTTTGATAATCCTCACGATATCTTCAAACATTGTGAATACTTACTGTACATTTAAATAAATACACACTAAACTCACAGAATAATAGGTGTAAGAATGACGAAAGAAGATTTTGCTGCCATTAAATTTAGAAAGGGGAGGAGAGTTGCACAAAAGAACTGCTGTTCAATGAAAACAATTTGAGTTAACAGATCACTAGATCGACACTTACTTCCTCACGAACAGGGGTCAACATAAGGTGTGAGTAACTTTTCGACACTCTTGGAGAAGCTATATCTTCATCTTCAGACCCCGATTCAGCTGTGGGCGTATCACTGCCTTTTACCTGCAAGAAAGAAGTGACATAATCAATAAAGGAATAAAATCGGCCTCCTTTCAGTTCAAGCAATAATAATTTATAAAACAAATTACCATTGGATTTCGTGGTTTGACGTAGGCAATAACCTTCCCTTCACTGTTTAGAAATTTGACTACCTGCCTTGTCCCCCGGGTTTTACCGCTGAGAATCATCTGCAAAATGTCCACATTCAATCAACAGTAAGCATATAACAAGATAAATATAGTAGAACACTTGTTGAACCGATCAAAGGGCAAGTAAGGCCAGCATATAACCTTCAATATTTCAGGATTTTTCCAGGGCCCTTTATCGGATCTGAGACACCCTCCCTGATCTGCACAGGTGCAGTTACCTCCCAGAAATTCTGGCAACTCACTTCATTAAGTTCACAAAAAATATTAGGCATTTTGAAGGATGATACATATTACAAATTGGTTGCGATGCTAATGTATAAATTACATTGGTCAGTTGAAAAGAAAACAAAATTACAAAAATTCAAAGATACAGAAAAAAAAAATGTAAAAAATAAGTCCATTAAGTACCTAGCATCGATTACTTCAAGCAATTTGCTTTGATACTTGTTTCCAAGAACCTAAGTAATGTTTCCAAAGAAGCATCAAGCACTGTCAGCAGCCTTAAAGCATCATGAAAAGAACCTTAGACAGCTAAAATATAGCATTTTTACGTACATGAATCTTTGAAGTTGTTTTTGGATCAAGGAAAGACTTGACAGTGTTCCACAGTAACCTAAACCCAGGGCCAGCATTTATGATAAACATTTGGCAGAGAGTCTGTATAATTAATAAAAGAACAAATAAATCATTAATCACTCAGACCGTAGTACATGTTCATCTTTAAAATTATCGATAGCTGATGAATCAAAATAAGGAACATAACAAAATCACAGAGGAACTGAGATAGCACACCTCAGGGTAATTGTCACCATCAACCTTTTGTAACCGCATGACAAGTTCCCGGGCAGACTTGGTAAAGTTCTTAAGGCCCTAAAAGTTGACACTATAACATTAATTTTATTGTATGTTATAGAAATTCACCGGTAATGCAATGAGGAATAATTAATAGCAACATACCACGCCTTGAACATCTAAGATTGTGGTGCTTGAATCTATGTGCCTTTTGGCAGCAATTGTGCAAGCAGGAAACTTAATTGCGAAAGCTTTCTCAAACTCCTGTACATGGTACTTTACATATCTATCCATAGTTGTAACTTGCATAAGTTTGTTTGGATCCACTTTTCCAAGTCTTTCAATGTAAACAGGTCTTCCCTCCTTATCGACACCATGATGACCATGAGGATAATACCTCACGACTTCATCTACCTCTTTGAACTCAAAATCCTGAAGCGCAGAGGATTCAATGGTAAGGAAATCAATCAGTAAATAGGTTAATCTTGTCACATAGATTTAAATCTTTTCCAAATTCTATCGGCCTTTACCTCCATAATAGTGTCAACACCAAATTCCTTCCTCCATTGTAGCATATCGGCCCACATATGCTTTGCTTTTTCAATATCAAACTTTCTTGCTTTGAGAAATCTGTAAAACGTACAAATTATGAAAATACAGGTATAAGACCATCTGTTGAGCCAAGATCATCAAAGTAAATTAACACCAAACTAGATCACCTTAACATCACATGGAAATCATCATGTTTTTCTGGAAGCAATTCATCCATAATCAACGATTGCCTAAACGCATCAACAGCTTGCAGTTCCTCAACATCCCGAACATCCTCAATGGAAACTGAGCTAACGCGCCCATCACTTTTTCTCCGGCCTCGATTTTTCTTTAGAGAATGCTTGAATTTGGAAGAAGCATTGAGTGCTTTCTTCTTGAGAGATCCGATTCTTGACCTCCTTTCATCCTCAGAGTTCTCAAAATCAGATCTCCTTTCTTTTTTCTCATCACTACCGGAGAACCCCTCAAAACCTGGCAAAATCAAAAACATTACAAAAAGTAAACCACCAAAACAAAACAAAAAACAGAGAAAGGTTTCAAGGTCCTAGACCCTGCCTGGTTTCCCTAACAATTTGATCAACTTCTAAAAAACTAGTTAAAACAAGAAGAAGAAACAATTTTGCAGCAAAAAAGGTAAGGAATTCTTGAACAAACAAAACCTTGCATCTTTCCTAATGAAAAAAACCAAACAAATTAACCAAAAACCACATTTTGGAGGGGAGCAAGCCAGGGTTAAGAACTAAACCCCCACACTTTGCAAGTTGTAAAGGTTAGGTTTGCTGAATTCTCTTGATCTAAAGTCTCAGAACCCGAAAAGTTCGCATCTTTCTTTCCCTCATTCAGAAGAAACCTTAGGCTGAGATGAACGAAACAGTAAAATGCACAAAAACAAACAAAACACATAAAAAAAGAAAGAGAAAAGAAACTGACAGGGTCTTGCAAAACGATCAAGTGGACCGGACATTGTGCTATAACATGCAACGATGATTAATGTCGCAGCGAAGCCACATTCACCACTCAGAAAAACCCTAAAGAATTCAGCGGTGAAGAGAAGAGATGAGACGAGACTCGTTTGTGTAGCCGCCGGAGCTGAATTAAGAAGAGAATGTTCGCGAATCACGAGAAGAATGTCAATCGATGTTTATACTCCAATCCAACACTGCTCTCTCTCTCTCTGTCTGCTATTACTTCTTCTGAGTTCTGACCCTAGTTTCATAAATCATATCATAATCAATTAATCATAATAATTGATTAAATTAATTCTGATTAAATATAATTTGCCATAATAATCGCCGGTCAAGGTCAGAGACAGCTAGAAAGAAAGAGATAGAATAACTGACACGTGGCGGTGGAGAAAACAGAAAGAAAACGAAATGAAGCCAAGCATGGAGGTAGGTTTTCTTTGGGAGTGAATCTTCTTACGTGGAAAAGTGGTCATGTAGTCATATTATTTGATCACAACCACTCATTTAAAATGTATAAGAGAGAGAAAAATGTATAATTTTTAAATGAGTGGTTGTGATCAAATAACATGACCACATAACCTTTTTTTCACATGAGAGGATCCACACCCGTTTTTCTTTTTCTTTTTTTCTTTTTTTTTTTCAAAAAGAGTTAAACCAAAAAAAGAAGAAAAGGAAATAGAATAAGGGGGAACCAATAGGAAGCGGCCCAATGATTAGGTCAGCTATATGGCCTGCGTAGTGACAAGTCACTATTCCCCTACCCTATTCTTCTTGTCGTCTTGACCATTCTGTAACAAAACTATTGGCTTCGTCAATAAGAGTAGTGTTCCATTTGTCGTGATACATTAATTTCCTACGTACACTCTTTTTAATATATTATTTATTGCTACATCAAGTTTTATTCAATTCCCATTTAGTGCTTTTTGGTCTTTACAAAATTTATTCAGTTACAGAAAATATGTTATTTGTATTTATTTTGTTTTATTCATTTTTTAAAGACTTAATTGCACTTTTAGTTTCTTTATATTAATTTTTTTTTTTTAGTTTTTAACAATTAAATTTCTGAATTTTCAATTAAAAAAAAAACTATTTTCCTACTTCCTTCGTTTGTTTGTTGCACAATTATTAACTTAAGTTAATGGTGTTTCATTCGCATACGTGACATGACAATCGAGTAAAATATTTTAATTGCTTTATTGGTAACTTTCATCTATTTAAACGCGTCGTTTTATCAATTCTTGTATAATAAAATACAACTCACCTTATTGAGAGTGAGATCACAAATTAGGATCTGAACAGAATCAATCAGTATTTGATACATTACGTTACCTTTGTTAAGCAACTTGTATATATCCTATAATAGTCCTAACCTACTTAATTAGTAAATTATATGTGATTAAATAATTAAGTATGTATCAGTGAGTAAAATTATATATAGGACCTAATTAAGTGAATTGGGATCACTTTTGAGGTAAAAAGTGTACTCGGTGAAAATTAAGTTGTATAAATGGGTGTAGGCAAAAGTACTCAAAATATGAAAATGAAAATACTCCTAGAAAAATATTCCAGACCTTCAGGTAAAGTTTGGTGATTTATGGAGTTGAATAGATAGACGAACTAATACCCGCTTGATTTCACTTAACCATTCCCCACACACACACACCCGTCGAGCAAAAAGAGAAGAGAAAGGGAGAAGAAACCTTGAAGTCCAAACCCTAGCTCCCTCCATTCTTGACATTTTTCCTTGATTCAAAAGCCTAAACAACTTAGATTCTTACTCTCATCCTTAATTCAAGCTTGGTTTGTGGTGGGGAGCCTTGTGGTGTGAGATTGTTCCTCCCAAAAATTCAAACCATTGATGATTTGAGGAGTTTGAGAGTGATTCTTTTCGTGGAAACTTGAGGAACCATCACTCCTTGATTATGCAACCATTGGTGGTAAGATTTTACTCCTTAAACTCTATTTTCATGGAGATTGCATGTTGAGGAAGATGATGAATAGTATTTTTATGGTTTTATGATAATGTGAGTAGATTGGCTATGTTCAAGGAAGAGTGAGGCTTAGTGTATGTTATGAATAATGCTAGGAATGACATTTAATCGGTGAAAATGAGCTTAGATAGTCAATTGATTATACTTTGAAAATTTCAAGATTTAATGCTTGGTCTTAGACTTTCATGCATTAGAAATCAATGGTTTGGTTTGGTTGATTATTGATGGTGTCCATGTTATGTCTAGGATTGAGGCATTTGGACCAACCTTGAGTGACCAACCATTGGAGCAAGCTATGGAGCTTGATTAGCCCAATTGGATAGGTGAATTTTGCAAGTTATAGCTTGGATGCGAAGTTGACTGGTTGTGGAAATTGTTGGTGAAGAACAAAGGTTGAACAGAAGCTTTGAGGTAAGCCTTCGGACCTTGGGTGTAAATCTCTTTACTGTTCCACCAAGCCCTGAATGGGTAGTTGGGGTTGGCAAAACGGGCCAACCCGGCTCGACCCGACCTAACCCGCATTCAACCCGAAAAAAAACGAGTCGGGTTAGGGTTGGCTCGAAAAAAAAACGAGCCAGAAAACCCAACCCAACCCGACCCGAGTCGGGTTAGGGTTGGCTCGCGGGTTGGCTCAAAATATGGCTCGTGGGTTGGCTTGAATAAATAGCTCGCGAGTTGGCTTGCGGGTTGGCTCCGAGTTGGCTCATTTTCAGCCTATTTAAATGACCCTGTAGTATTAATGCACCAGCTATGTGACTTCCATTAGCTTAAACAAAGGGTTACAAAATGAGAAATAAAAGCAAAATATTTTAATTTCGAATTTTCTTCACAACAAATTTGCATCAACATCCAGTAATAATCAGAACCACTTGCTACCAAGTGGCTAAGATATTTGAACCAAACAGAGCCAGCAAAGCCTAACAATATAAAAATGACAAGGATGTGAGAAGATTAGGGACTTAGGTTTAGAGAAGGAAGAAAAATGATGACAATATGTGTGAGTTTTGTCCATTTTTGTATATTATATTTTGTATTATTTTATTAAAAAGAAAAAAAAAACTCAACCCGCGAGCTGGCTCATTTCACCTGTGGGTTGGCTCATTTTTTCACGGGTTGAAATGAGCCGGGTTGACTCGGGTTGGCAGCTCATTTATGCCAACCCAACCGGCTCATTTTTGGCGGGTTACGTCGGGTTGGCTCGTTTTTGCCAACCCTATGGGTAGTGGTTGTTGATAGTGTATGTAAATGCAATGAAATAGTTTAATGCTTTGTTATACGTATGTGTATGCATTTGGTGTGGCATAGGATTGTGTTTCCCTATGTTTCGTATGTTGCACGACGATGCGTAATTTATACTTGGTAGTTTAGCTGGCCAGTAAGACTATTTGCATCTGAGTATCCTTATGACAGCTTGAGAGCTCGAGGGATTTCTCCTGGAGATGTTTGTTACACACTGCATGGATATGTGTTTATTGCATTATTATTATTATTGTTATTGCTATTACACTGTTATTGAACTATGGGATGGAGAGATGCTCCAAGGACCCCTGGTTTACTGTGATATATTCGTATATCTCACCTCGTGTTGTGAGGAACCCCTTTCAGGTAAAGATGCTACAGGAGCCTCTGGTGGGAAGTGGCCATATTTGGATTAGTAGATGCATGAAGATGTCGCATTCTTTTGGATTATATATGACATGTAGTAGTACCATGTATAGGATTTACATTTGAAAGTCAATAGCTATATGTATGTTATCTCCTATTTTGATGGACTTAGCATATGCTCATCTCTGTTGGGTACCTCTTTTGTTGATGAGAACCAAGGGATTGATCATAGTGTTTTGTAACTAAGTCCCATGAATTGTAATTAAGACATGTTGTAATTATAGGATATAGGTATATGAGGAAATGATATGCATGTCTCTTTTGATGTATATGTACCTTGCAAGAACTAAGCACCATTTATTGAAAGGATTATATGATGTCAATTAGGTGAAAGAAGACCTTTAGGTTGAAAATCCAAGTAAAAGTAAAGATATCCCGTCTTGTTGTCCAATTTTCGCATCCTATATGGTAGATTTGGACCCTTGTGTCTTAATGGAAGTTGTAGATCTTTTCTTAACTTTCCATAGAGACCAAGATTGTGTGATTTGGATGAGTATAACTTAAGTTATGGGTAGAACACCATAGGTAGGTCAGATTGCCCGGTTTTGGTGCTTGCTCCAGAACGGCGACGCTCTTAGCGTCAAATTCACGCTATGAGCGCCAACCATCAGTAGGTTTGACGCTATGAGCGTGAGACTCACGCTATAAGCGTCAACCTCTCTGACTTCTCACGCTATGAGCGTGAGACTCACGCTATGAGCCTGGGGTCCTGGGGATTTCAGCATCCATTTTTTTAGAAATTTCATAACTCGAGCTACGGTTCTCCGATTTGAGCGCGGTTTGAACTCACACGTAGCTAGTAAAAAATCCTATAACATATTAGAAATTGAGAACCATCAAAGTAGTATAGGAATTTCTTAAATAAATAAAGAGTATACGTGTTTAGTGTTCAAGAACAATAAAATTGAGTTTTAAGATTGGTGGGCTAAATAAGACTTACAATTGGAAGTCTACCTATGATTTAAGTTATAATCACATTACAAAGTGGATTTTAAACAAAGACTTTTATGAATAAAAAGGAAAAAGTTCATCCGTGTTTAATTCAATCGTGTGATTGTAACTGCGCTTAATGTCGTACGTAATGCTAACAAACCGGTTCTAGAACGGGGTGTTACATATTGTCATATGTTTTGGATCTTGCAGTCTGAATTAATCGACTTTGAAATTAAAAATCATTTGATCCAATTCTTTCAATTTGATCATATATAATCCATTCGATTTGGATTTTTTTTTAAATCTGTTCTGATCCAAAAAATTTTGGTTTAAATTATATTGATTTTCAATTTTTTGAAAAGACTAGAATTGTTTCATGATTATTGTGTAAATAACATATCTTTTATATATATTAGCTTTGTAAAAAAAATTGAAATACAGAAACATCAATAAACGATAATATAATTTTTTTTTTTTTTTTGCAATGAGATATGAAGCTCTACACAGATGAAATTTTGCTGATGAAATGTGGCTAAGTTTTTTCTTATGTTTAGTTGATGGGTTAATGGGTCTTGGGTTTAGAATTTGTTGGACTATGATTGGAAAAATGCCTAAGTAGGTAGAGAAAAATTAATATATTGGATTGGTTTAGATTGGATAGGTTTTCATCAACCAAACCGAAATCTGATCCAATTCAATTAAAATTTGCGGGTTTTTTTCGATTTTTGGTTTTTTAATTTTTGGTTTATTCGATTATTGGTTTTTGGTTCGGTCACCGCGGTTTGAATCGATTTGGATATATTGATTAACACCCCTATATCTATTCATTTAAGATTATGAACAAAAAAAAATTTTAAAATGAGAATAGTGGAAAAATTTTAAAGATAGCATTTGATACGCGAATAGGAAAAATGGAAATTGTTGTATTCATTCCAGAACAGAAATGAATAAAAAAAGATTTGTTCTATTTTCCTTAATTTTATTTATTTTAATGAAAATAAGATGTACTACTTTTTAATTTCATGGCTTATTTTATTTTATTTTAAAATACATCAAATATAAAATAAAACCTTATATCTGATTGTTTTTTAATTTTAACACGTCTCCTAAACTTATGCAAATTGGTTTTGATATTTATTGAAACGAAAAGTCATCCAATTATATTCTAAAGTCATTTTTAAATTTAATAAATTCCATTAAGAATTCTTATGGGTATTTGCAAACTGCTATATTTTATTAGATACTTTAATTCAACTATTATAAAAAATAATAATAACGGGTCAACAAATGAAGCTGGATCATCCTTATCAAAAGTGACGAAAAACAAAAAAAGATTACTGGATCATCGCCGAAAATAAGTCAAAGTCCATATGGAACTTCTTTAATCGTGCCACGATTTTCCTTTTTTTTTTGTTGCTTTTAAATTTTCATTATTTGAAATCGATGTTGAACTTCTTAAACCTTCTCTTTGTCCTTTGAATTTTGTAAGTATTAGTACTATTATAATGATTTAATTTAGTAAGCAATAATTTCCTCTACATATTGGACGAATCTCTCTAATTGCATGTTTTCTTTTTTAATTATTTCAGAAGAAAAATAAAAAAGGAATATCGCAAAATGCAACAAAATAAACTCTCTTCGTCGTGACAAATTAATATTATTCGTTTTGTTTGTGAGAATGAACAAATTAATACTTGCCAAGCAACTTGCAAATTTTACCTCCTATGGCTATTTCATTGGTTGAGTAACATCTTTTCTTACGCCAAATGCTTAAAAGAACAGCAATTAACGTCTGAGATCATGCGTGTCCCAACTGGCTTTAAACTTTAAAGCGATGGACGTGCTACTACTCACCCATTAAGCTGCTTTATTATTGGTAATTATCATAACGTCATCGAGTCCTATGTCAATGTTTTGATGGTGTCTTTCTCATTATTTCTCGTGCCCCTATGAAATGAGTGGCAGATTTGTCCCTAAAAAAAATAAATAAAAAGAATATTCATTTTCGCAACTCTAATTAACTTGGATTACCGATCAACGATTTACCAACTGTGCTAAAAAGAATGCAGAAACTTGTTTTGAAAGTAATACTAATTGGAGAGAAGTCAAACATAACACCTGCCTGTAAAATCCCAGAAAGGACAGAAAGCAACCTTGCATCTTTGGCCAACAAACTTGGGATTGGGGATCTGTGAAGATCACTGAACAGTGTGGTCCATATTTACCCATGTTAAGTTACTTTCAACTTTTTATTCTGCTGTGCTCGAATCTCTGAAATATGTTGTGTTCTGTCACGATCAACTCCACTGTTCAAATAGCAGATTACAAAAAAGCTCCCCATCACAGTGATCAGCACCAAACCACCACCAAAGTTAGTTTCCAATTACATGGTAATATGGTATGGCTACTTTCAACCATATCTTGGGCCTCATTGCATATGGTTGACCATCTAGTTGGAGTTTGGGGTAAATATGCAGCTGGAAGAGTTTAGATGTAGGATACAAAAAAATATGGGCACAACTCGCCTCCAAGAAACAATTAAGGTCGGTATAAAGAAAAAAAAAAAGTTTAAAATAAATTAACTTGTTTTAAAAGTTGGTGACAAAATTCAAATTTCAAAAACTGAAAATAATGGGTTTAAAAACAAGGGAGTGCATTGTGCTATTTAAGGCAATAGGCGAATGGTGCACAGCATACTGACAACAAGAACAGTAGCATTAAAAGAAAACAAGTTCATCTCTTCAATAAAGCCTACCAAAATATCAGTTAATTTCAATCCAACATTGATTAGTCCGGAATTCATGATTTAATTCAACATAATCTTTTATATCATGACGCAATATACATTGAAGCTTGTGACATCAATACATTCCCAGCCATCAAATTTTATACAAAGATTAGGGGACAATTAGTGTCACTATGCTGAAAATGAAATGGGTTTTTATTGAGATTTAGAACAGAAAGCACTCACAATTTTGATGTACAGGACTACTTTTTGAAGAGTCTTATTGACTTTTGGTCAATAAGCACCATGAGAAGATTCATAGAAAAATTATATCTACTATAAATGCTAACATACAGTTGTTAAGCTTTGGAAGAATGAGACCTCGGGAGTGATGCTTGATTCTTCTAGCTAGCATCAACAGCTTTGTCCACCATGGGAACATATTCGTCATACCCAGAGAAGTTACCACTACCAGCATAGCTCGACTTTCCAACTACCTTAGACTGACAAAGAACACAATGTGAATAACTTAGTGTTCGGGATATGCTCCTTGACAAGCATTATATTTTGCTAATACTGATGATATCTTACATTGTTAGTAGTTACTGTACATCTTCAGACCCTGATTCAGCTGTGGACGTATCACTGCCTTTTAACTGCAAGAAAGAAGTGACATAATCAATAAAGTTACATAATGAAAGGACACTGAAGTGGTATTAAGGAAAGAAATCGGCCTCCTGTCAGTTCAAGCAATAATAAGTTATACAACAAATTACCATTGGATATCGTGGTTTGACGTACGCAATAACCTTCCCTTCACTGTTTTGAACTTTTACTACCTGCTTTACCCCCCATGTTTCACCGCTGAGAATCATCTGCAAAATGTCCGCATGCAATTTAAAGTAAGCATTTAACTAGATAAATATAGTAGAACACCAGTTGAACCTATCAAAAGGCAAGGCCAGCATATAACCTTCAATATTTCAGGATTTTTCCAGGGCCCTTTATCAGATCTGAGACACCCTCCCTGATCTGCACAGGTGCAGTTACCTCCCAGAAATTCTGGCAAATCACTTCATAAGTTCACAAAAATATTAGCCATTTTGAAGGATAACACAAATTACAAATTGGTAGCGATGCTAATAAATTAAATACATTGGTCAGTTAAAATAACAAACAAAATTACAAAAATTCAAAGATACAGAAAAAATAAAAACATGTAAAAAATAGGTCCAGTAAGTACCTGGCATCAATTATTTCAAGCAATTTGCTTTGGTACTTGTATCCAAGAACCTAAGTAATGTTTCCAAAGAAGCATCAAGCACTGTCAGCTAGGGGTGTGCAAAAGAACCAAAAAATTGAACTGTGAACTAAACCGAACTGCACTTAAAATAACCAGTTTTTTGAAACCAGTTCATGAACCCAACTGGTTTTTAAAGAACCGGTTCAAGAACCGAACCGAACCGTTTTATTACTTTATTTCTTTTCTTTTCTTTTCAGAATAGGTTCGACCCGAACCGGTTTCAAACTGAACAGAACCGAATCGCTTAAACCAGTTCGATTCAATTCTTCAAAAAATTCAGTTCAATTTGATCCATGCACACCCCTACTCTCAGCAGCCTTAAACCATCATGAAAGAGCCTTAGACAGCTAAAATATAGCATTTTTACATACATGAATCTTTGAAGTTGTTTTGGGATCAAGGAAAGACTTGACAGTGTTCCACAGCAACCTAAACCCAGGGCCAGCATTTATGATAAACATTTGGCAGAGAGTCTGTATAATTAATAAAAGAACAAATAAATCATTAATCACTGATACCTTAGTACATGTTCCTCTTTAAAATTTTCAATAACTGATGATATCAGAAAAAGGAACTTAAAAAATCACACAGGAACTGAGATTGCGCACCTCAGGGTAATTGTCATCACCAATCGTTTGCAAGCGCATGACAAGGTCCCGGGCAGACCTGGTAAAGTTCTTAAGGCTCTAAAAGTGGACACTATAACATTAATTATATTGTATGTTATAGAAATTCACATGCAATGCAATGAGGAATAATTAAAAGCAACATACCACGCCTTGAACGTCCAAGATTGTGGTGCTTGAATCTATGTGCCTTTTGGCAGCAATTGTGCAAGCGGGAAACTTAATGGCGAAAACTTTCTCAAACTCCTGCACATAATACTTCACATATCTATCCATAGTAGTAACTTGCATAACTTTGTTTGGATCCACTTTTCCAAGTCTTTCAATGTAAACAGGTCTTCCCTCCTTATCGACACCATGATGACCATGAGGATAGTACCTCACGACTTCATTTAACTCTTTGAACTCAAAATCCTGAAGCGCAGAGGATGCAATGGTAAGGAAACCAATCACTAAATAGGTTAACCGCATCACACAAATTTAAATCTGCAGAAGCCAAGTGAAATTTTCCAAATTCTATCCGCCTTTACCTCCATAATAGTGTCAACACCAAACCCCTTCCTCCATTGTAGCATATCGGCCCACATATGCTTTGCTTTTTCAATATCAAACTTTCTTGCTTTCAGAAATCTGTATAATGTACAAATTAAGAAAATACAGGTATAAGACCATATATTGAGCCAAGATCATCAAAGTAACTTAACACACATATTGATCACCTTAACATCATATGGAAATCATCATGTTTTTCAGGAAGCAATTCATCCATAACCAACAATTGGCGAAATGCATCAACAGCCTGCAGCTCCTCAACGGAAACTGAACTATCCCGTCCATCACTTTTTCTACTGCTGCTCTTTTTCTTTAGAGAATGGTTGAAGTCTGAAGAAGCATTAAGAGCTTTCTTTCTAGCCCTCCTTTCATCCTCAGAGTACTCAAAATCAGATCTCCTTTCTTTTTTCTCATCACTACCGGAGAACCCCTCAAAACCTGGCAAAATCAAAACATTAAAAAAAAAAAAACACCAAAACAAAATAAAAAAATAGAGAAAGGTTTGATTCAAGGTCCTTGACCCTGCCCGGTTGCTCTAACAATTTGATCAACTTCTAAAAACACTTGTTAAAACAAGATGAAGAAACAATTTTGCAGCAAAAAGGTAAAGAATTCTTGAACAAACAAACCCTTGCATCTTTCCTAATGAAAAAACCAAACAATTTCACCAAAATACAATTTTTGAGGGGAGCCAGCCAGGTTTTAAAGCTAAACCCCCCACTCTTTGCAAGTTGTAAAGCTTAGCTTTTATTGAGTTCTCGTGATCTAAAGTCTCAGAATCCCCAAATTTCGCATCTTTCTTTCCCTCAATTAAAAGAAAAGGAAGTCTGAGATGAACGAAACAAAACGCAAAATACAAAAACAAAACACATAAAAAGAAAGAGAAAAGGAACTGACGGGGTCTGGCTAAACTATCGAGTGGACCGGACATTGTGGTATAACGTGCAACGATGATTAATGTGCAGCGAAGCCACATTCACCACTCAGAAAACCCTAAAAATTCAGGGGAAGTGCAAAGCTAAACGCGGGGAAGAGAAGAGATTATAATCACGTGGGTAGCCGCCGGAGATGAAATAAGAAGAGAATGTTCGGGAATCATGAGAAGAATATATCAATCGGTGTTTCACTCCAACACTTCTCTCTCTCTCTCTCTCTAACCCCCCTAATAGTTCTGGCCCTAGCTTAATATGGCTCATTCATCATTTTATCTTTATTTTTTATTAAACAAACATCACTTTCGAGTTTCCACCCTCCTCGAATTATAAATTAATTTGTCGATGTTTGACTAATTAACTAATATTTAATCCTAAATGAGTTACTCAAGATTACCGTACTTGAGCAATTCAACTACATGCGTAAGTGACTTACTTACTTGAGTAAGTGGATTTTATTTTAAAACCTTCTCTTTGTCCTGGAAGAGAAACCCCTGCGCCTCCTTCCTCCTTTGTTCTTGAAAAGAAATTATGTCATGTCGTTCAAAAACTTCTCAAATCGCGTGGCAACCATGCTCTCCATCATTAATCTTTGGTTTTTCGCCGGATTTGTCTTTGATTTCGGTAGGTATTTGGGACAATGTTATTAAACGCGGATCGGTAATCGATCCGGTGGGAGTACGGAAGAGTAAAGGGTGAGTTACTGATTCAATCGCATGAACCGGATATATATATAAAAATTTATATTTTATACTGAATTACATAATAAATATTTTAAATAGTGCAAGTGAATTAAGAACAAAATGTAGTTTAGTGGTAAAAAACTATAATTTATATCTTTATAACAAGGGTTCGATTCTCACTAAATGTTATTTTGAAATAATTTTTTTAAATGATAATATATATATATATATATATATATATATATATATATATATATATTAAATGGTGTATATTAACCAACAAACTCAGTCCAATGGTAAGTTGTTGTTGGGCATTATCATAAGACTTGAGTTCAAATCCCAGCAGCTGCAACAACATTGAAAAAAAAATTTGACATAATTATGTGGACAATCATAATCATATATAAAAGTGGATTGGTGCTGACAAAACCATTGATTCACCTTTCTAGGGTTATTATTATCACATATGACCATATCTTTTTTTTTTAATTACGAGAGGATCCATTTCCGTATTTAGGCAAATTTCCCAAATAAGAACCTAACTCCAATGTGAGTTCATTGGATGTTTTCTTTTGTATTTGTGATTTTGTTTGTATTTTTAATGTATTTTGATTTATTTTTGCATTTTTCTATTCATTCCTTATATCTATATCCATATAAGCACCATGTTTTCGAGAGGCATTTTAAGAACCGACATGATGTATCATCATCTCGGTTAGTTCATACTGAGCAAGTTGACATGTCATATGTATATTTGTTCCAAAATGATCCGACAAAACATGCTAGATTGGCAAGCTCCTATTTATCCATGACAATTGTGACAAGAACAGATGCGCTGACTGGTTGGCGCGCTATAGTAGTGGAACTAGTGAGAGTCTTACTATTTTTTAGGAAGCCCCCATAGGTTTAGGGTCCTTGTTGTCCCTGGATGCAAGGGCTTTAATGTTTTAGGTTGTTTTTGTTTTGGGGCTTGCCCCCTCCTTTGTACTAAAAAAAAAAAAAAAACATGCTAGATTTGTATCGGAGTATCAATGTCGAAGCATAGTGAAGCTAAAGTCTTTAGATTCAACATTTTTCTTGACAAGAAGAGTGCACATTGTCCCACTTCTTGAATGTTCACACTTGAGGGTGTTTATAGAGATGTCTATTCACACTTGAGAGTGTTTATAGAGATGTCTTACTCGTATTCGGAGGCCGTGGTGAAGACCTTCTACTAAAACTAAAGCTACTTTGATTGAGAGCTGATATCCACAATATGCGACATTGACATTCTGGAAAATTTTGAGATGTCAACGGAGTTGCAAAGATTCGATTTTGATGTTAATTGGAACACCCATGGGCTTTGAATTATAACATTACTCAAATATGTAATAAAATAAAATAAAATTATTTTGTAAAGCATTAAACAACCCCTTACTTTATTCCCTGCAAATCAAACGAGACTTTTCTAAATAACCCTTAGGGGGCGTTTGGTTCCAAGCTTTTCAATAGAATCCTATGCAAATGAAATATAGTTTTCAGAAACACAACGTTTGGTTCAACATATTTTTAACAAATTTCCATCCATATCATTTGCATGGGTTTTTCAACTTTTGATCAGAAAGCAAGCTTTTTGCACTGTTGAGAAAGCGAATGTGAGGGTGGTTTTTTCGAAAAGCCGGGCAATGGACTGTTCACACACTTTGTGGACTCCAATTATACCCTCTCTTCCTTCACGCTCTTGTCGTAGGGCACCGTGCGTCGCCGCCAGCCTCTGGTTCTCCGTAGCCAGACCCTGCATCTCCAGGTGCTGAGATGCGAGCTTCTGCTCCATCACGTGCAGCGGCAGCGACATGCGACCTTTACTTCCCATTGTTATGTTATGAAACTAAATCTGAATAACACATGAAAAATCATGAAATTAGGACACAAATATAGGAGCCATGAAGAAATTGGCAAAGTCAGAGCAAAATAGTGTGCTCAAAATTGATGTAATGAATAAACTGGACAAAGTAGAGTTTATAGAGGAACAAAAATGATGAAGAAACAGTATTTTTTTTTTTTTAATATTTCAATCTGTCCATAAATTCAGATTCGGGACAAATTTCATGTTAAGGCTTTATAAAAATTTTCAAAGTGAGGGTTATTTTCGTAACTTCCAACCTTTTTTCTATCTAAATTTTACTTACATCCAAACATAGACATTATAAATTCACTTAATTTTTCCAGTAAAATTTTTCCCAACCAAACTACTTTTTTTTACATTTTCCTATCTATCTCACTTTATCTCACTTTCTTACCATTTCCCTATCAATTCTATTTCTCTAGTATTCTAAAAATTTCTCCTCAACCAAACGCCACCTTATTCTTTCCCCTCTCCCTCACGTGACTTTCTCCACTCTCTTTTAGTCAATTATGATGTAATAAAGCTTCCAGGACCATTTCTGGACCACACTTCTCCACAACCACTTCCTGAAAAAGGCCATTTTCTGCACCACAGAGCACTCGTCCTTCCTTTTAAGAGAACGCACTCTTCAGTTTCACTTTTATATCCACACCACCTTTCTACCCTAATCCCAACTTCATTCTTCCTTACTATCTTCAAACCACCCTGACCTCTCTAGAGCTAGAAGAGAATCTTTACATTGTCCTTCATTTTTCTTTTGTTAGGTTCGCATATGAAGTTTTGCTTATAATATTGTTTAAAAAATGAATTGGGATTGTTTCAAAAATTAGCTTTAATTATAGAATTTCTTGCTGCCAATTTGGAGAAGTAAATGCCAATATTGTAAGGGAACCTCACCAAGTAAGTACGAAGGACAACTCATCCTTCTCCGTTCCTTGAAAATTTGAATTCTCTTAACATGCACAGAGCTAGGATTATAAGACATGATGTTTTGAGTATGACACTATGAATAGATATTTATCAGAACAAATAGCGGTAGAGGCAGAAGAAAAATCCAACCAATGCCAAAAGACCCACAAGGTAGAATTTAGTCAGCACCGAGATTGCGTGATTTTTAAAAATTCAACCAGTATAAGGTTGTACCATAATTTTTTATTACAACAAAGAAAATTGAGAAAAGACACACATGGGTTATCTTAAGAAATTGATCGGTTGAAAATCTCCTTTTTATATATTGTAGACTGATTTTTCGTAGATCATAGAGGTATATCCAGGTTGGCTAGTGTAGGTGGGATGCAAGAAAAATCACAAATTGGAACCTTATAGAAATTTTGAATGAATTTTTTGCATTCTATTCCCCTATATCCGGATATCTGGGCTCAAGTATTCAAGTACCTGCAGTTAAGTAACACATGGGTATGATATCTAACTCCAGGTATTCAGATATTCCCCAACAGCAAGCGCAACTTCTTTTTCCTTCCTTTGTGTTTTTTTTTACTTTTATTATTAGTTTACCAGTAACTTAAAATCACCCTGTACATTCAGTTTTAACTATATTTCATGGAAATATTATGAAAGATATTGATTGATGCATGTTGACCTAAATTCATTTTGGTTCATTTCATGAGTAGAATGATTAGTTGACAATCATGAGGGATGCCTCACTGCATTTGAGCTCAAATTACATATAGGACGACTAGTGCAATGATTGCACATACAGTAGCTTGGATCTTATTGGGTCGTGAGACCATATAGTTTACTTTCTTTTGGATGCCAAGAGATCATTTTACAGTTATGTTTTTATGATGAATTTGAATGCTACCACTTAATAATGTTGTATAGTATGCCTTGTGAACTGACTTTCTTACGGATGTCTACCTAAATTTCGAATACCTCGATATTTGAACGAAATTTATGGTTCAGAGAAGGGAGTCGTTTGCCTGAATACTTATCGAAATTTACGTCTCACTTATACGAAAAATGACCAAGGCAGTTCTGAAAATGCTTGAACTTACTTATCATGGATACCGTTTCTCTTGGTTGTTGTGAGATGACTTTTGGACAACATGATTAGTTATAATTAGACATTGTTGGTTGCTTTGTACTTGAAGAATATTGTTGAGTTGTGTATGTATTTTGGTGACTTAAAAATATATATATTGAGCTATGAAAGTGCTGGACAGCTTTGAACAATCTTGTTGCACCTTGACTTAACCATATTATTCCTGTATGAATGTATTACACTTCTTTTATTTACCATATAAGTGTAGCATGCTACCGTAAACATGGGGTGTTACATTAATGATGTTGGCGCCACTCATGATGGGGAAGGGCATGCTACTATTGATAGGTATAGGCATATTGATATTCTGCCAGAGGTAAAGAGGCATGATGTTAGACTAGCGCAATACACATAGTTCGTTGTGTTGTTCCTGAATGTGGATGCACATGTTATGTTTTATATTATATTTATGATACCTCGTAATCACACGAAGGAGATGGATACTGATTTGGTTGTTATATGGGTCATCTAACATTAAATGTAGGTCAACTCGAGACATTGCATCTACTGCATTATGCAACGTGCTACTAAGAAGGGCACACTTCTATATAGAGGATCCTAGAGCGTTTTAAGGTACCCGTGGATGGTGAGTGTTTTAAGACCGT